AATTTTGTTAATAGTTTATTTACAGAGCCTTAAACAAAGCTTTGTTAAATGAAAATAAATATTCACCTTTTCCATGACGCATTCCACGACGCCAATCACCTGTATAAGAAGCTTCTTGGGGCCAAGTGAAAGTTTTATTGAAAAATCCCTCCCACACGTACTCGCCGTAACTATTAATATTTTATCAGTTTGAGAAATAAACGATAGATCATCAGTTAAAGGTGAGATGGAAGTGAAAAAGGAGGTGTATTTCTTTCAATTCCTTATTACTTTTAACGGTCATGTATCTTTTGAAATTAGTGATTCGCACGAGACGAGATAAATCTCGATCACGTTATTATTTAAACAATGAATATAATTTTGCTGTGATATTAATTCAACGAATAAAAGAAAAACAAACCCATCCATTGCACCACATTTCCATTCTCCGCGATAAACATTCCCATTAGTCCAAACCATTGTTCCAATACCATGACGAAGCCCATCTTTCCACTGTCCAACGTAACGAGCACCACTCGGGTAAATTCGTAATCCAACACCGGACATTTTCTCCATTTCCCAGTCGCCGTCGTATGAACCATTGTCACCGAAACGACAGTAACTTTTCCAACAAATAAAATTGGGTAAAATTCTCCGAGTGTAGTCTTACGACGCAACATATTAAAGGAATTCATATTAAAAAGAAAAAATATTTTATATTTATATGGACGTTTAATTGCTCACCCTTTTCCGTGTCTGTAACCCGAACACCACTGACCAGTGTACATGAAATGATCTTCTCCATTCACGAACAGGCCTCTACCATGTCGATGACCATTCGCGAAATCGCCCTCGTACCAACAATTACTGCTCCACTCTAATAAACCTCTTCCGTGCATAAGATTCTGTTCAAATTCACCCTACGAAAACTGTTTACCTTGTAGTTTTTGTTACAGGTACGTATTGGAAAAGGTAAGGTGAAAGTGAAGAATAGAAGAACATGTTCATTCCCATTTATTATCATGTGAAAGCTTGTTTTTGAAAAGAAATTGTACATTAAATTAATTTGTCGACTTCTTGGATCCATCTACTTTTATATACACTCTTAAGAAAGTAAAAAATTAATTACTTTGTACCGAGCACCATTAGACCATTTGTACACGCCTTTGCCTTCCATCATCTTCCTACTGATGCAACCACTGTACGTGTTGCCATTGATAAATGTTATATCTGCAAACTCATCTGGCAGTATTAATTTCCACGGCAAATTGGAACTTGTTTTAGACTCGTCGCTTAAATATTCCTCGGAATTAGTTCGTTTTTTTCCTGGTCCATTTATATCTTCGTAATTCTGCGTCTCCTCGATCTTTTCCCAGTCATCAGACTCTTCTCCAGAATCACTATCGAGTTTCCTCCGAGGTTTTTTCCTTAAAAATCTTCCCTCCCAGCTTCATCGAACGAAATTATTTTGGTTTCATTTCAGTTCATTTTTAAAAGTAATATCAATGAATTAAAAAGTTGTGTGTGGGACAGTTCAAGAAACTTAATTACTTCTTTACGAAATACTTGAGCACGTCATTGTAAAGTAAATAAATAAATTCCTCCTTGGCACTATATTTACGACGTTTCTCGGCAAGAATATCTTGAAATGGTAAGTCATCCTCAATGCCTTCAAACTTATCCGACATTTCTCCACTCTCTTCCATTTCTTCTTCCTCTTCATATGATTCCTCAGGAACAACCATTCTCCTACACTTTTGCAATATTTCTTTTCTCAACGAAGCCTTCATCATTTTTACTTTTTTCTCTAGTAAACTTAAAGAGAAACACTATTCTCACACAAATGTAACAATCTTATAATCTTCGATTCTAATTTCAGAAGAAGATAACGCTGTTAATCGTAATTATCAAGTCTATCAACGATATGGAATAATAAAGTGTTTTTATTTGCGAAGAAACTTGAAGTAATCGTAAATCGAATCAATGCAGATATAAATATTTGTTGTTACACGTGTTACGCTATCGATAGTGTTTGATATCACATTCAGCGATTTCGTATCATCTTACTTCACATAGTTAACGATTAACGATAAGGACTGTCGTCGAAAATTTTTTAGATTGAAATTAGAGGAGGGGCAAAATGTCAACTAAAGGAAGACCAGCGATAAGTGTACGATTAATTATTTTAATATTGTAAATTGTTACCGTACGAATTATGAATTCGGTGTAAATTAGAGTATGGACGTTTACATTTATTTTCACTTTTGTATTCGTGCCTTTTTTCCCTCTACTTAAACATATACATATGGTACACGTTAAAACTAACATTAAAAATTAAGTAACATTTACGAAAGTCTAAATCGGAAAATTGGTAATTTACCAATACATATGTATTATCCATAATGATATTTATTTATAATATAATAAAAATACAATTAAATAAAGACGATTTATATCGTAGGCCATCTTCCCATCTTGTGAAGATGAAACAAGGGCTCTGGAGCCGATTGTTTTTCACGTGCCTACTGTATATAACAACAAAGTAAAAATGCATGGATGGTAAGTCTAAATAATTCGTTGAATAATAGTATTTTATACTATATTGACTTTGTCAAAAATGTATTCTTCTTTAGCCACCAAGGTGCCTAATCTTTTGGTATGCAAGAAAATATTTTTGGAGTGACTGTTAGGGAGAATAGGGGTGTCCGAAATTTGTTTAAAACGAACGTGATATTAATTTTTTTTTATTTGAATAGCTCCTATGAAACTGAATAATGAACCACTTGCGCCATTTAACTAAAGAAAAAATGAAGTCGATGTCTTCATCAGTTTCTAAGAAAACAACTCGTAATATTTCGTACAGGACACCCTGTACATGATTGCGTTGCTTCCTCTGACCTATCGAAAAAGATTTCCGCCAAGTCAAAGAGGGTGAAATATACCCTCTGTTTCGCGTAGCAACCCCTGCAAGCCACCAGTGGTTCTGAGACTGTTTGTATCGTGGCTATCTTTCAGTGAATGCACGGTTTCGTTTGAAAGTAAACACCATCTCTAATTGTTGAGGCCTAAAAATAAAGAAAAAACAATAAAGAAAGAGTCTATATACATAATTCAGAAAATGAAGAATACGTAAGTAATATTAATGTTGTTGTAAGTCATTCAGTATAATGACTTTTTTAAGTTTACATAAGTGACTTCAATTGTATTAATTGTATACGTGTAAAAGAATATTGATCGACGAGGCATGACAACATAAATCTTAAATTTCTACACATTTTATTCGAGTTTTAATATATTCACATACGATGGAAGTTTAAAATTTCTAAAATATATTTAAATGTATTATGATATCATAGTGTGCTATGAAAATCCACAATTATTTAACTGATTTTTCCCATTGAAAATTATTTTTTTTTTTTGCAGGCAAATGAGCACCTTGGCCGAGCCTAGAGACAATACAGACATATTTCCACCAAATGGAAGTCTTCATCTGTCTTCGTATCAAAGGCTGGGTTCGGAAGATGGATGCACAGGAGTCACAGAGACGCAAGCCATGCTGTCCCAGATAGAACTGAAACATCAATACGAGCCAATTTATCCTAAACGAATCTTGTCCAATATGAAGTCCCTCGCGTCCGAAGCGTTAGTACAAACAAATTTTATTTTCTTAATATTTCTACTTCAACTAACATTTCTAAATGATCGAATATAAAGGCACAGAATTAATTTCTACGCTTAATATTTGTGGTTCGCAGTTTTGCATCGTAGTAGACGAAACCATTGTAAATAAATGTACTTACAGGATTGAGGAGAAAACACCCCCAACCCTAATGGACGCGTTGTACGACCCCGAAGAAGCCCGTTGTATGGATTATAGGACGACGATGGAAGTTACTTACAGATTACCTTACCCTTTGAAACGAAGAGCTCCACCTCCGCCACCACCACCAGAACCCTGGCTTTTAAATCGACGAACCATCGGCTACAGTCTCGAAGAGTTGGAAAAACGGGATGGTGTGCACACCTTCTTGGATGATAACATGGAACTTCATCAGAGAATAGCAGATCTGAAATCGAGAAGAAATAAACTGCATGAGCTTACGCTTCCAAGCAGACCGCCTTCGAATGTTAATGGTTCTTCTGCTTCGGAACAAAAATTAACTGATACTTGTCCATGTTAAAGACACGTTTTTGTCAATTTTATAATATATATTACATTTTCATTAATATCAATTACCTATATGTTTTATTACTATCACTCGCAGTACTATGTGCAAATGAATAATCCAAGAATGCGAACACAGTAAGTATTGCAAGTTTCTCTTGAGTTTGAGAATTTTTCTTATTTAAAAGCTTGTAGTCTACAGAGTTTGCTTATTGCATCTGATATATTTACCGTTTTCTTTTCTTTATGACAAGATTCTATTCTTCGTACTGTTTATACTTTGTTGTTATACGTTATTTCTAATTACTTGAACTAGCCTTCTTTTTAAAACTTTTAACGAAACTTTTCTCTTGTGAGAAACCCGCTATTTTCGCTCAAATCAGTAGCCACCTAGCGGCAAATAACCCGAACTAACTGCGGAGTTTGGTCAGCGCCTCTATCGAGAAAACGCTCAAGTTTGTCGCCGAATAGTTCCTACTTGCACCGTTAGATGGCGCCATTTGTTCATTTACCGACATGTCGGTAATTAAATGTCGGTAACTGAACAAATGGCGCCATCTAACAGTGCGCGTAGGAACTATTCCACGACAAACTTGGGCGTTTTCCCGATAGAGGCGCTGACCAAACTCCAAAGTTAGTTTTGGTAGTCGGCGCTAGATGGCGACACCAATTTCCCGCGGGAAATTTGAATCAATTTATTTATTTTACACCTTGAAAACAGTTTAATTTGTGTAAATAAACGTTTGACAACAAACATTAGCTGTGTTACGATTGTACAGACGATAATACTGTTCAATGAGTGCGTCAACGTCAAATATTTTCCATTTTATATACGTACATATCATTATTTAATTTCTATAGTAACTTATAATTGATATTAAATGCGTTACATTCATTCTATAAACTTTGACAATTTAAGTAAGATTTAAACTAGTTCGACACAAAAAATATTATAAATGTCGTGACATAGGAAATAAGTAATTTGTCTCGTTACTAGGTAAGAACATTGGAAAATTAAACATATGTGCATCATAGCTGGGGCATTAAGAAGAGCATTCTCGAAAAAAGAATCGAGGTGCACGCAGGAAGGTCAAAATAAGAAGAAATGCATATTTGCAATGTAAAATATATTTTATCTAGAGTCTAAATAAAACGTGACTCATGCAGCAACGACAGCGAAAGGTCGCTGGACAATTGCATCTACGATCAGTATCATTACTGCTTATTCGTGACGCCTTCCGAATCGCAGGTGACCATAATCGTCGAAGTGTTCCCGTTTGCCGAATCTCATGTGTCCGTAATCATCGAATTCTTGTCGTTTATTCAGATCCAAGAAGTCATCGTCTTCGCCGAACAGACTTTCCACGATATACCTGCGAAAGAAATACATATTAATGAGACAGTTAAACATGTAGAGATGAAGCATTTTCTTTTAACATGTTGTGGTTAATTGTAATTAATTTCAGCTTTATTGTTTAATTTTTTTTTTTTTTTTTTTTTGAGGGGGAGGGGATCTTTGAGTTTCCAATACCCCACAGATAAACCGAATTTCATAATTACCCTCGTCGTAAAGGGCGGCTATGGAATTTACGATACACATTACTAACGAATTCTGGAGCTGCTTCGCAATTTGCGCAGAACAACCAGTTAACCGCCATCGTGCAAAATAAAGCAAATATTAGATTCATATCTGAAACAGAAGGAGAAACTCGTTGTTAGCGACACGCTGTAATAGTTAATTAGAAAACTTTAGGAGAAACCCAAGGAGAAATAAGTAAAATTCTATTCACCTGTATGACGAGGGACCTGAAAACGGCGGAAGAATGCACGGTCCACGCTTTCTACATGGCTTTTTATACGTGAACCCCATCATCCCCGGAATCCCAGAACGTTGAGCCCTTTGAATTTTAATTCGCGAAGCTCTTGGTCTGATAAACAATTTCCTATAGACGCTCCTACTGTTGAACACTCAATATTCCATAATGGCATCCGATGATTGGCAGCTTGGATAAACGTATTACCCGCGTTAACTTCACTTTTTCTCTTTCCAAGACAATGGTGATCACTTTATCGACTCACGTAGGCGCAATTGTGCGAGAAACTCTGTATGTTATTATTTTTCGATTGCTTCTCATCGGTTTGAATGAATTTTTATAGAGGAGTACAAGAGAAAAGTCCATTAGGAAGTTCCTGCCAAAGAATATCCTTGCGTGAATTAGACCTCAGTAAAAGAGAATGAAAGTTCGATTTTTATTCGAAAATTATGTATTAATTTCTGATCGGGAAAAAATTTCTGGTTCATTCGGCGTAGAAAGGTAAAAAGGTTGCGTAATAAACTGTATGTAGTGGGCAACGCAGGCAAACCATCGATACGTTACGCGGCCAATAAAATGGCAAACAGAATTTGACGCGCCCTGGTACGAGGCCACGGTCACGGATTACGACAGTTCTGTAATGGCTTCTGTAGTTGCAGTGCTTCGTAGTAACCCTATAAATCGCAGCCAGGTCTCTTTCTAAGTTCAATTGCGATCCATCCTTCGATCCAAAATCCATCGTCTCCCGAACAGCCTAACCCAGGCCCGCGCTCGTACGATGTAACACCGTTCCGCATGGGGGTACCGCGACTTCCGGTCCTTCGAGCGTTCGGCCTCTAGCAGCCAGGATGACCGAAGACGTTGGCGCCCTGCTCCAGAAAGGCCTGTCCGAGTGGTGGAACGAGGAGACGGAGTACGTTTTCCAAAGGATCGAAAGATGGGCGGCGTACGCAAGGGGATACAATCGTCTGAGGTCCCAAAGGCTGTCGAGGGGACGGATGACCATGCAGGGAGGACAGGAGCCTCGATGGAGCGTCTCCTCGAACAAGCTGATCATCGACGACGTCTCGTGGAGTCCGCGTTTTCACACGTTCAAGAAGTCCCGGCGTAAGTCCAGACCAGAGGAGGCCAAGATCAACTGCTGCGGCACTTTCAACTACCAATCGAACAGCAACCTGGACAGCACCTGCCTGGAGACATACAGGTACGATCACAGTATTTATTTCAAGACGATCGGCGATATCAGGAACAGCAAAAAGGACAACGTCGACCCGAAGAACGAGCGGGAAGACAGGATCTCCATCAGCAGCGAGGAACTGGTCGAGTGGGACGTAAGCTCCGTGTCTGATTTCATTGCCAATCAACTATTGGAGGACGGCCTCACCAGCGATAATATTCAAAGTATCTTCGGTGACAAGACGAGCCCTGTGCAGGACGTAGACGGAGTTGATACGGTTACGTGGTCCAATGTGGACTTGATGAAGATTAATTTGAACGGGGATGACACTCTTAGGGATGAAGAGAATAACGAGAGTAAGTTCACGGTGGCGGAGATCGAGGAGGAGAGGAATAATAATTATATCGGAAATGTGAAATTCGTGGATTCGTACCTGGAGAATCGACAGACGCAGGCCAAGCGTGTCTCTGATGGAAATGTCGATGTTGGAGAGCCGCAGGATCACGATGAAACGTTTCGCGATGGTCGGGGGAACAGGAGATCGCCTAAAGGAGTGCAACCTTCGATTATGAGCGATAATGACGTGACGTGGCCAAGTATTTTAACGAATTACACGAAGAATGTCGACTCAGCCTCCGCGTAATTAATGGATATCGTGGAAATGAATTTTAAATTGAAATTGTTGCGATCATGTATAAACTATTGTATTAAGACTAGTTGTCTTTAACAATAATGAAAGAAAAATATAAACGATATTGAAATCAGATATTCCAATTAGGCTTGCAACATACTAAATGAACTAAGTCAAGTTTAATTAATTTTAATTTTATGGAATGTAAATTGAAACCAAATAAGGATAAGGATGAACAGTTTATTGTTTGGATGGAAATATGTACGATATATAATCTTGGATTCTGTTGTACTGCAACACCGTCTAATAGTATTCTTCACGATTATTCGTCGCGAATAATAAATTAACTACACTTTTGGTTACATGATTTTGTTTGATCGATTAAGAAGAAATAGAAGTAAATAGCAGAATCGATTTGGCAGACACAGATACTTTGCACAGAGCAATAATAAATCTTTTGTATTTTATCTTTTAAGTTACTCCTTCGTCAGACTAATTAATTTTATATGTGAATATTTAAATTAGGGGAACAACTGCTGTACCGAAACCACTGACTTTAATAAAATTGATGTTTAATGCTGGCTCTGATATTTCATTTTGTTGTGTTGACATCAACCATCATTTTTAACTTGAGATAATCTTGATAAAATCTATTAAATATATTATATAATAAATAAACTGTCAATTTTTAAGAGGAGTGCTTAAACGCCGTTATATAGACAACGCACTTTGTTAAGTTAGACCATTTTTATACAAAAAGATAAACATAGTAAATAAGATTCCTTTCAATTACAAAAGAATCATTCAAAGCGCATTTACCCGCAACACACAAAATAATAGTTTTCGGTTACATAATATTGGTTACTTAATCGTTTCGAGCTAACGTGAAATCTAATTTACTTTAGTCCACTATTCTTACCATAACTGATATGTACTTACAATTAGATCCTCTTAGAATTAACAAAACCCAATATTGAAATTTAAAAAAAAAAAAATTAAAAATCCACAAATCGTCCCAATTCTCTAAATACAAATTGTTCAGACGATCCTACCCCGAGAATTTCATTCAGCACCGTCTCTGCAGTTGCGGAGAATGTTCTCCCTCCAGGGAGAATTGAATTTGCCAAGCACCGGCTGTCAATTACCCCGGCTGAAATACGTTTTTTTCAAAGTCAACAACGTCGGGATTGCGTTCTTTTATATTAACAAAGAACTAGTATCAGGACCAGGGAACTCCTACAGCGCGCATGCACCGAGCTGGTGGGGCAAGCCATGCACGCAAACACGTAAGCTCGTGCAATCTCGCTGCAAATCGATCGTCCTCTCACTTGTTACGGGGAAGTAGTGCGTAGCACTTCCCAAAAATTTCATCTGGTGATCGTCCGCGATCGACAGGGCCAGGTAGACGGTCAGAAACCGTAAGAGAAAGAGGATGACCAAGCGTTTGGACACGGTGGGCACTATGGCCTGCATGAAGACCCTGCTGATGCTGTTCAACGTCGTCTTCTGGGTAAGAAGACGTTCCATCTCCTGTATTAAACCACCCTTGACACGTAGACCCGAGAAATCCTGTTTCCTGGTGCGACAGTTCCACCCAACTGTTGCACGATGCGTTATAGCGTAGTCGTGTCATGCTACTGACGAAACCTCGTATATCTTTTTCTTAAACAATTAATTCGTCCACGATGACGTAATCGGTTTGTAATATAGAAACCAGCGAGAGCAGATTGTTCTCTTTTTTTTCTTTTATTTATTTATTTAGATACCTAGGTAGCTACAGATAAACTATATATAGTTTTTTAAGTACAGTTTTTTTTTTAGAAATATTTTAGAGAGCTTGTTCAGGAAGAATACATGAAAATAAATTTTGACTCGACCCAGAAAAAAAAAATATATACATATCGAATTGAGTAACCTCGTCCTTTTTGGAGTCGGTTAAAAAGAGAGTGCCCCCTTATGTGATCTAGATATCTATTCCTTAGATATTTATTAATTAGAATCAATGAAAAAAGGGATTTTCACTCTTAAAGTAAAACTAATATTCGTAAACAAACCAAATATAATCGATATCATGTTATCGGTTGTGCTAAAAGCTGCTTTTATAACACTCATCAGGAGTTTTTGTCAGCACGTACGGAGGTACTACTATTACTTAAAATTAAATTTTGTATGATTTGAATAATTTGTTTTTCAGGCGTCTGGTGTACTAATCGTATGCACCGTCCTTTGGATAGAAATTCAACTTCAACATTACGTTGACATAAGCATGGACGGCGTCTGGGCGGCCTTGATAGCGCTAGGAGGTTTCGGATTATTTCTGTCTTTGGCAGTAATGCTCGCTTGCTGTTGCACGACTCGCGGTCATCCAGCACTTCTGCATCTGGTAAGTATTTATTCATTTGTATAACACAATAAATAGTATAAACAGTAATCGCCGCTTGTATGCAACCAATTTTTCCCCGCTTATAATTTCATATTCACGTGGCCAGAAAAGCTTAGTACTTTTTTTTTATTTAATAAAATAAGTAGCTTCTAGAGAACATCAAAGAAATTCGATTTACAGTATGGCGCGTTCTTGGCTGTCGTCGCATTATTGGAGCTAGGGGTTGGTGCATCGGTTTATGCTAATCGTACCTGTTTGAGAGACAAATTTTACCTGGGTCTGAACGAAAGTATGGCTGAATATGGACGGAATGATATAAAACGTGATCACATCGACTCCATGCAGGCTACAGTAAGCCATTTCATAATATTATACAATTAAAGCATAATTCAATAAATAAGCATTCGTAATATTATACAAATGCAATATTCAATTTATACTTGATATCTAAACTAACATATCTAATCAAACTATAATATTAAAATCAATTTCCTTCATTAAAATATCTCGTGTATGGAAGCAATTATTGCAATAGTACAAGTCGTCTACAACTGTAGTCTACGACACGCTCTCAATTACAGTTGGAATGTTGTGGACACAAATCTTACACCGATTGGCTGGAATTGTACCCGCAGATGGCAATTCCACTATCTTGCTGCAAAGTATCAAGGAAAACCTGTAACGTCAACGAAACGGATGACATTTATACTCAGGTAATTTCAAAGTTCGCATTTTTTTAAGACGAAGCAAACAATTTTATTATACACAAAAAGTCCTTTACCATTGTACGATCTGATACTTCGCTATCGAGATATAAGCAATTCAAATTCACCAATGCGACTTGCGGCGCGCGATGTTTGAATCTCGATTGTCCGTTCGCGCATGCGCCGCCGTCCGTGCTGACCTGTGAATTTCAAATATTTATATCTCGATAGCAAAGCCACCGATCGCAAAATGGTAAAGGACTTTGCGATTCGTACTAGTCCGAAGACTTGATCCTCGATAAAGGTCCGTCATATATTGAAACACCTTGTATATAATTTTAATTTTAATTTTCAGGGCTGTTACACCCGCGCCTTGGACTTGATAAATGACAACCTCGGTCTGGTCGCTGGAACAGCAATCGGCGTAGCCTTCTTCCCGTTTATAGGCGTCTTCTTAGCATGTTGCTTAGCCAACAACATCAACAAAGCCAAGTACGAGCAGGTTGCTTAGAGTTCGCGTTGCTCGCAAAAAATTCCGATCCAACAATGAGAGAAATCTGCATCGCTCGGAAGAGCGGCATTATTCTGTTTACGAACAACAATGTTCATCGGCTGTTCCACTAGAAACAATTCATCTTGATATTAACGAACAATCTTGGAAATGATCTCAGTATCTACCCTTTATTAATAACAAGACTGTTTTTTCTTTTTAATTCTTGACTCTTGACTGTTTGAGATATCAAGGAAAATAGTAATTCGAACAGGCATTAAAATCGCTATGGTGGGTATCATGGGATGAGATATCGAGAATGTACAGTTTCGCGCGATCGCGAAGGTATCACGACAAATTTTAGTAGAAATATGTATGTTGTTCTTTTTTTTTTTTGTGTGTAATTATAAAAAAAAAACGACTCGATAAGATCGAACGATCCTATTCAGTGAAAGATGCAGATTCTTCGGTGCGTTTAGTTAGCTCTCTTTTAGTTAAGTCAACAATGCATGTGATTTATCATTTTTACGTTTCGAATGAAATGCATGACGCAACATTATATCTGTGAAGATATATCCACGGTTTGGACGGTCGATATGCGAACGTCACATTATTTTACGTTAGTTGCATATATCAAACACTATTCGCGTTTAATAACGATAAAAATCAGTTGTTTTGATAAATAATGCGTTTAACTTCACTTTCATGTGAAAGTAATCATAATCAAAATTTGTATTTTGTACGAAATCATTACAAGTAGATTGCAGAACGTTAATGCCAAAGGGGTAATTGTTCATTACTTATCCAATGGAGAATGTTGTATGGCAAAGGGGAAGGGTGTATGTTTTAGGACTGTAGAAAAACTAGACGCAAGGACTAGACGCGTTAGAAAAAGGATTTGAAAGAATGCAATAGAGGATGTGAAAGATGATAACAGTTCGTGCCTAAATGAAATTTCAGGTCTCTATGGGGCGACGGTCCAATTATAAACGGATGAACAGGATTTCTCCAGCCAAATCATTAGAATTACGTTAAAAAATTATTTCGTTCTATAATCGTCATTGTTAAATACTCAAACTATATTTGTTTCGGTGCTTAGTTCCAGCATTTGTTTCGTTCTATAAAATTTATAACGTTGCAACGGATCTGTTCGAATTCCACGAAATAATTATAAAATTCGAATATACGTATAAATTTTGTAACGTGAACAAATAGTAACCTAATAACATTTGAAACGTATAAGTCGAGTATCGCACAATTTGCATGTATGTACTCACTAAGAACTACGCTAATATCGTTATTTATTTTTAATCCTTTAACGCATGACATTTCTTAATATCATAATGTGTCTCGGTATACATATACATGTACCATATCTCTGGTATCTTGTTTGTTTATAGTGAAATTATCTAAATTTTGATTTTATAAGAACAGATGTTAATAGAATAAATAGAAAGAAATAATTAAAAACTTGCTAATAATTTGTTAATATCGTTCAAATTTTAATGTTACAAGCAAACAAAAATTTAATAGAGTCCTTAAGATTATAAAGACCGATTGTTATTTTTATACAGTAGGTACGCACAGATTAAACGTATATTTTACAGTAAATTACAAACTGTATTACAACGAAGCGTTTATTTTTCAAATGTTTTGAAAACTACGATGAAGTAGTAGAAATCTCGTTTCTCCTGTTTTTATAACACAGATAGATGCATCTTATAAGTTACAATGGTGTAATAAAAGCCATTTCTCAAACTGTTATGTAGATACTACGAAAACTAAGTTCCTAGGATTACTCATTTTTTACAACCAAGGCACGAAGTATTCGTATAAGACATTGTATTTGTATGAAAATCTCAATTATTAATCGTCGAATAAAAATCTGTACATGTTTATTCTACATGTAAATGTCTAAATGTTTCTTCTCGATATGTTTTTATCTGCTATATCAAGAATCTAATCACTGATCTTAAGAAAAATGAAAAGATGTGTCAATTGTATTTTCATCTTACACGTGTAAGTGTTATTTTACAGTAATGTTACATTAACGAATGTTCCAAAAATGAATCGCACTAATAGTAAACATTTCACGGTGCACTGAAAATTTTCAACTCTACATTTTTCTATAGATACCTTATTTAAGTTCAAATTAATGAAACGTGTCGAACTGTGTTAAACCCTGACTCTATATCATATTCAGGTTACGTATATAAAATATTAAATCTTGGAAAAATATATATATACACATATTGTATTTTATTGTAAACGATGTATTCGGAAAATAAATAAAATGATTCGTTTCATTTTTTTAAATTGCATTACCCCTTTACCTAGTGTCGATAAAATTTTACTACGAACTTGGGCTTTTATTGTTATTGAGCTAAATTTAATTTCAAATTAGATTAATTAATTTACTAATAAACAAAATTTTTGTTTAAATGGATATCCATCTAATGATAAATAAATCGAACGGATCAGGAATGATGAGTAGTGCTCTCGGGCGACATAATGCCCAAGTTTGTAGTGGAATAGTTTCTACTTCTAGCGCTAGATGGACCATCTTCAGTAAATAAAATTGGTCAGTTTATCTTTAGAGTGTATACTCTATACATTATCGAATTTATAAATGGATAATACAAATAAATGATCAGGAATATGAAAAGAATTAACAAATACATTGATTTTGTGTAAATATTGTGAATGAGCAACTTAAATGGCACGTATAACAAAGGTAATTGTATCTATTCGGTAGGGTATATTCTATATCGACATCACTCTGATTGCTCACTGATTGATCATTCTCAAATTTTAATTAAATTTGATTCCTTACAGATTGTTCCTGATAGTGTTCAAGATAAGGAAGTTAAGATTTTTACTCAATGGAAAGTCTTGTTAAATAAACAAAGTCAATTGATTATTAAAGGAACAATAAATCAGTAAATCTACATAATTGAGCATACATCTTTACATTACATACATTTTACAATCATTCTAATTTTGTTTTTCTGTTGTAGTGAGATAATTGCTCAAAGTAAACCTATTATAAGGCGATTGACAACTACCATTGTCCAATCTACTTGTAAGCAGTTATACTACTTAAAAGGACATATCATTGACAATGAGTATGGTAAATAGTTATAATTATATTTTATATATCTGAAAGTTTTTTTGTCTGTTTATATTTCAATATTTAAAAACAAGTAATTATTTCACAGAATTACCAGATTATATCAGGAGTAAATTTTATGATGGATTTCCCCATGACTGGGAAAATGTTTGTGACATTTGGGGAACATTTGTACAACAAGGATGCAAATCAACTTTTCGCTGGCCTACCCCCATCATGGATAGTGATGATGATTTAAGAAGCGACATAACAGACACCACATTTGTAGACCCAAAAAGTACTGAGAATAGTATATCAAATTCAGAATCCTTAGAAGAATCGCATCCATCTCAAGCAAGTACTTTGAATGTCTTACAGACACAGACAGACAATTATGATAAAGAAAATACTAAACAAAGAAATGTAGCTTCAATTTGTTTTTATTCTGAAAATGAAACAAATAAATTGAAGGAGAAATTAGATCATATTATACATAAATTAGCAAACAAGAATTGTCCTGAATCGTGTCTCAGTAAAGTTAATCAATTACTTGATCGTTTATATTATATCATAATAAATGAATCAGTTACTGACAATGAATTCAATGTAAATAATTCAGTAGTAGGACAAAACAAATGTGTAGAACAGACACAAAAGAATAGAATAAATGGTTATTGCCCATCAGAATCTTTTGTTTTACAAAATGGTATTAAGTTGGGGAGAGATAATTGTCTAATTACTGATAACATACAAAATTCTGACTGTAATGATTCGTTACGAAAGACGAGAACTTTTGCGAGAGTCGAAACTAGTAATAGCAGTAGTTCTGATGGTGAAAGTGAGATTTATGCTGGAGTTCCTAAGATACCAGTAGCACGGATACTTAAACGGAATGCATTATTAATAGAGACTTTTAAACATAAACGAAAAAAAAAGGTTATTCATCAAATGTATAATGTGGACAATAAAAATACGTTAAGTGTACCTTCGGTTAAATGTCCTGATACAATGCAAAGATCTGAAAAAATTAATGGCGCGAATCATTATGACTCCAGCATTAGTATCGTAGAGGATGAAAAACCATCTACGAAATTTACAAAATGTATTAATGCAAATGTTGGAAGTATCATAAACAAGCACACCAAATTTGATGTAAGTGAAGGAGAACAATCAAATGGAACAAACGCTTGTATGAAAGATAAAAATACGTATAAAACGCAGGAACGTTTTATACGAAAAAACTTGAAGTCTTTTGATACATTTGGTAAAATCAAAGATAATAAATGTGAAATTAATAGAAGTGCAGAAAATAGAAAACAAACAGTAGAAGCATATTCTCATATGAAAACTTCTGAAGAGAGTAGCAGAGACATGAATTTTCAGCACCAAAATCGTATATCCTACAAACAGCATACAGAACTCTTATCTCGTTCGGAGAAAGATGTTAACAAAATGTCAAAACCTGTTATAATTAGTTCAATACCTATTACAGATGCTGTAAATAGTGATTTGAAACTGTTTGCACAAAATTTAAAAGCAGATGTAATTCAGAATGAAAACAAAAATATGAAGAAACTGAATAAGAAAACTCAAGGTTTAATTCAGAAAGGTTCCTCTCTTAAAAAAACTGATACTAAAAGAAATTTTAAATCAGCATTGTCAAGTATTAAAAAAGATCACAAAGAAAATATTAAAGTTCAATTGGATTGCATGGATTTCACAACTTCCAGAAAATTAGCACAGAATTCAAGAATTCTTAAAGATAACCAGAGTAATAATGCAGATACAAATAAAACTAAGTTATTATCTTCTTGGGTACCATTGGTAATAAAGAAATTGGATATGAATTTAATTTTTGAGGGTAATTTAATGAAGTAAGTATTAAGGTGAATTTTATGTCTCTTTAATTCGATATGTAATATATTACTTTATTTATATAGCGAGTCTGGTTATATTCTCCAAAGGAAATTCAGAACAGATCCTGTGCTTCGCAGAATATCACCAAAATTAGTCGAGACAATACATCATGAATTTTATGAACTAGTTGGTAACTTGAATGATGCGAAGCATGGTAGGAATTAAAACATTATACTCATGTATCTCGTAAATAATTCAAATAATTCAAAATTAATCATTATTGTGGTTGTAGTGGTACCAAAACAGTTGTTAGTCAAATGTCGTAATGGGTGTCCCTTAAATATTGAGTTATTCTGTAAAACGTGGGAATTGTTACAAAATGAGAAGTGCACTGCGGAAGAATTGAACGATACAGTAGATACAATAAATATTGGTAGAAGTTCGAAAGGCAGGAGAATTATACCTCTATTAAATTATTGGACAGGTAAGGATATGGAAGTTCTCATCTTCTCAAGGAGTATTTTTCAAGAAAGTATTTTTATTTTTTCAGGGGAACGTGTTACTTTAAAAGGTGATAATCCAGTATATAATCCTGGCAGGCCACAAGATTCCCTGCATATTTTTTCTTATGATAGTTGTAATGACAGTAAGTCTGTCAAAAGTACAAAAAAACGGAAAACCAATAAAAAAAAGAAAGCAGTTTGAGTCAATCAAAAGTACATACTACTGACATTTAAACTAATGTAATATTCCATGTATCGCATGTAGTAGTGTAATTGTAAATATCTACGAATCAACATCAGTTTTCTATGTACATGTACACGTGTAAAATAATCTTCATATATATGTCCATTGTTAAGATGTTATATATAAGACAGTCAAACTATTTTGTTACGTTTTTAAATAAAAAATGTTTCATAATATTTACATAGTCTATTGTATAGTGTATCTGTATTATTATGTTCACTAATAACTTCCTTGGTATGTTACAAACAGTATTTTCTTGGGAATAGATTGGTACCACCATCTGACATAGAAGAAAAAAACTATGTATTATGTTACCCATTGTCGCTAAATACATTGCAGTGGCGCCATCTACCATCAAGAGTAGTAACTATTTCATGACAAACTTGGACGTTTTCCTGATAGAGGCGCTGATCGTAGTCCGAAAAATAGTTCGTTGTGTTCACCACTAGATGGCATTTCCTTCAATAAAAATAAAATAAGTTAAATAAATCATAACAAAAATTAAATGAATAAGTTTGTTGCTTTAATTCGAAATCCAAATTGATACTTCTATTTCGAGCATTATTCTTTTGGGCTTTATTTTCATAGCTATAAAATGGTAATATATTAAATTTTCTTACATTGATTTGGCAAGCCTGGTGATGTTTGTATTTTAAATGTACATCGGTAGAGTGCATCTCGGTCACGTTCTTTTCTCTTCATCATGGCGGTGAGTGTTCAGTTATTATCTGAAAAACCGTTTTCTGAATCCTTAACTATCAGCGACATCGGACGTAAAAATAAAATTTTTGATAAACCACAAGAAATTTGTAGCAGCTGATTTAACATTGATGAAATTCTTTTTCGTTTGCGTACATTTACTTCTATAATTTTTAACATGACAGATGAGGTTAACGAATGGCGTGTACCGCGCAAGCATAACATATATTGATGTTCTATTATATTTATACAGTTTGTGAAAGAGTTTTTCGTGTTGATAAATACGATTCTGTTACAGGATGTAAAGAAAGTGGAGAAAAAGGTCGGGAAGACCGAGAAAAAGGCGAGGAAAGAGCCTAAAGATGCATCCAAGAATGTCATGCGAGAAGTTCACATTCGTAAACTTTGTTTAAACATTTGTGTAGGGGAATCTGGTGATAGGCTTACTCGTGCTGCAAAGGTAAGTTTTCTAAATATTATCGATAATTAATCCTACTATTAAAATAAGATAATATTTCTATTATTTACTTTTGAATTGTTGTAGGTATTGGAACAACTAACTGGACAGCAACCTGTCTTTTCTAAAGCAAGATACACTGTTCGTTCCTTTGGTATTCGTCGTAATGAAAAAATTGCGGTACATTGCACAGTTCGAGGTGCTAAAGCAGAAGAGATTCTGGAACGTGGATTGAAGGTAGTTTTGATTATTTATTATGTATATTCTGATTGTAATTATATTTTTGTATTTACAAATTCAAAGTTATGCTTTTATTAAAGGTTCGAGAATACGAATTGAGGAAAGAGAATTTCTCTGGTACTGGAAACTTTGGTTTTGGTATTCAAGAACACATTGACTTAGGAATCAAATATGATCCCAGCATTGGTATTTATGGTTTGGATTTCTATGTTGTACTTGGACGCCCCGGTTAGTATAGTTTTACTTTACATTTTATTATAGTATGAAGAAATGAAACATGCACATTTATATGGTATCATAGATATTCTTGTATTATGTTATGTCTATTGGTTTATGAAACATGTGCTAAAGGAAATGCTTCATATTTGCAACCCATGCCCACTTCTTATACTGGGTGTGTTACTTAATTGATGCAACAAATAACTATTAGTAAAACAATTATATTCATACATTAGCAAACAATATTTTATGTGTAACTTATATGAGTATTCTTTATGTAGGTTTTAACGTAGCTCATAGAAGGAGAAAAACTGGAAAAGTCGGTTTCCAACACAGGCTTACCAAAGAAGATGCAATGAAATGGTTCCAGCAGAAATATGATGGTATTATTATAGCTGGAAAGAAGTAATACACATACTTTGTATTATACAATTCTTCCATAAAAAATCTGAAAGTAAATTATCAGTTGTTTAATAAATTATCCATAGTACCTTACCCTGTTTTTGGCTGTTACATTTAAATATATAACACTAAAACAATCTGTATTTCAACAAGTAAGATTAGTTAGGAAACATATTAATTTAGCAACATGTTAGAATCTCACAGATTTTATTTATACTTAATTATTAGAACGTAAAACATTGATAAAAGTCACGTTTTCGCAAAGAAGATAATATAGAATTATTTTACAACCTAATACCATAAACTGAAGATTCATTGCACTGTTTTTATTATAATAGTTAGCTTACTAATTATCACAACGGCTTTTTTTTTTATACAAAAAACATGGTTATAGTAGTATATAGTACAGTAGGTAGAAATGCAAAAGGCCCTGTCTGTTCGTCAATATATGTGATTCTGTTACTTTCCACATTTGACTTGCTTCTTTTTTTTTTTAAATAATCTTCTTTGCATACAGTATTGTGTATGAATAATAAATATAGAAACTTAATTTTTGTTGGGTATATTAATTTAAATATTAAGCAGAGTTGGGTAAATTTTAGTCTGAATAAAGAATACAAATTCAATTGTCCATAGTAGGTCATTTATTATTATTATTTTTTTTAAATATTTATTCTTTATTCAAAATAAAATCTGCCTAACCCTGATATTAGGCCTAGTTTTCTACATTACAGAAAAGGAACTTTATAGTAATAGTTACACGTATTTTTTTACATTAAAGATCTTGAATTAGAAATGTGAACATTACATTTTTTTCTTTAAAATAATACTTCACAATTTTTGTATCATTTGTGATATGCATAAAATATATTGTTAAAAGTGTTCACATTTCTATTATAGATACATTCTAAATACGCATTCAAAAATACGAAGCGAAACTGCATATTCGTCCTAGCCCTAAATCTCGTTCTATAATTTATTTTTTTACAAGTTTTTAATACGAATAGCTAGTTAGGGTATCAGAAAAAAAACCTGTACATCCAGGTTTAATATTTACCGATGTTACTTTTTCTGTGTACAGTATTTTTCAAGATTTGTGCAACTATATAGCCAGAGAATACAACATGGTTTTTTACTTTGACTATATGTATAAGTACTTACATAGTCAAAAGTCTTTTATAATACTGTATTAGTATTACAAATAAATTTAATAACTTCACATTGATCAACAATGGTACGTACAACGTTTAGTTGTACTTACTATAAGTCATATACACAAATATCAAAATTATCCAGTAATTAAATGCTATTTATATATCATGTTGAAAGTTATAAAAATGTAGTACATCATTGAATAAATTGTTCATCCACGAAGACTATCGAGGAAAAAGGGATATCCAAAAATATTTATTTTCAATGAGTGTAACACTGAAGTTTGAGAAAATGAAAAAAACCGGAAATAACGAGAGTAATCATTATTATTAAAATGGTGCGAAGAAGCATTCAATATGGAAGCGTGTCTAAAGACGTTACTCGCAATAAAACTTTATTGAGGTTGCTGTAAATGAAATTGAAGAGGATATTCTTTATTTCCAGTTGCTAGTATGTGAGTAATTCTTGATTTCAAAGATTTGTTTCCTCTATTTTGTGATAGATAACTATCACAATTGATTCTGATAATATGAACATTTCCCCTTCTTCCTTAATAGTTTTTATATACATATACATATGTATGCAATTTTTTGTTAGGTAGGGCAATGAAATTATTTTCCGATACCCCCGATATTATTTGAAAGTATAGCTCTAATGAAATTTAAAATACATATGAGATTAACTCTTATATACTAGAACTTTAATTTAGTCCCTAGTGTTTGGGATAGTTCTTATTAGCGACTGGACGAAGCAAAGCAGAAATGTTTTTTCTTTGCAGTTTGTAGTTTACGTTTCATAATTTTTGACTATTTAAGTGTATCTTTGGTTTTAACCTAATGATAAATATAGTGAATAACTTTAAGACACATGAAACAGATTCGTAACAGGTATATAAGAAATGTGCTCTTAAACTTTTCCTTTTGACGTCCGCAAATAGTTTCTTTATAATACTCTCTCATAACGTTTATCTAACTTGATATAACAAGTGGATAAAAAGGCAAGATATTTCCGTCAGTCTCCAAATTGTTTCCTTATCTGGACGCCATATTACCAGACTGATATAATTTAATATTTATATATTTCACAATAGATAGACATATGTATATTGAAATTAATTAATGTATATTCATGGTATTTAAAGATAAGTTAAACAAATAATTCATGCGACAGTGAATCACATGTATGACATTTTAATTTTCTTATAACATGCAAATATATTTAGTCTTCTGCATTGAAATACTACAAATTATATTTATTTTATACAATTACGTATTTCCTTTCCAATGTTTAATATATTAAACATTTATAACATTCTGTACTTGTGTATCAGTACAATGTTTATCATACCATGTTATATAATTTACACGTTATAATTAATAAATTTAATATTAGATATAAGTATTCATGTACATGTATGTGTATATACATTTTCTTTAATAAAAGATTTTTGAATACTGTTTCATATAATCTCTGTTTACCTGTACAATGCCCTAACTATGCTGTATATTCTCTGTACTCATAACATGATTATTTTATAGAATAAAAATTATCACTATACATATATTTTGCATATATCAATTAATAATCTGAAAATTTCAATGCAAAGGATTAAATTACATTCAGCATTATATTTTCATATTTATATTACTTTTTTTAGTTTAGGAATTATAAGAGAGATTATGAAATTATGAAAAGAAAAATTTTTGAAAAAAATATATTAACTGAAAGTTAAATTATCAAAACATATAAATACAATATACAAGCTCATTAAAAGCATTCTACATTAAGACTTTAAAATTTCAATTATAAAAGTGAATATGTAGCAATATTATACACTGTTATGTTTGTTAATAGAAACAAATAATTTACAGTTCGTACCTGATCAGATATTTTTGCACTGACTTTCAACCCATATGTCTACCTGCAATGAAATTTATTATTTAAAAGGCTGTACAATGTATTACTTTCTTGCTGATCGATGTATTTTATCGATATTGTGCTTTTCAGCCTCTGTGAACCCCAGAATGCTTTCGATAGCGTTTAGATGACCATGATGATTTTCTTTGTCAGTTAGGAAATAGTAGATTGCCGATTTTAGGAACTGCAAAGTGATCTCTGGATCAAGGGCACCCTGATTACTTCTTGCTTCTATAATACGGCGATACATTGCCTATTGAACAAATTACATTTGTTAATAATTTATAAATAACAAGTCCTTTTCCTTTGTACCTTGTGTGTTGCATTTTCAATTATTTACATTCCTTAGTAGTGATTTCTTGAACATTAGATCCAGATATGATATAATTATAAAACGAAATTAAAAAAAAAATGTGAATCATTTATTACTTTTTTTAATCACACCAATAAATATGAGAAAAATAAATTTTATAAGAATTTATTTAGAAAAAGTGTTTGTACCAATGTAAGAGTAATTCATAGTTCTCTAGATCTAATACTATCGCTAATGTTTTCTTTGTATGCAATGGTGTAAGCATGTAATGCTTAAGCACATGCAAACTTACATCAACCAAAGGATAATAAGAGGCTGTTTCTTCCAAGTGTACAGGATGATTTCCCCAAATTTAATAATAATGCGTAATCATAAGAATCACAACTACGTTTGTGCTTGATAATCGGCATGCGATCGCTGTGGCGAAGCATTTTAAAATAAATTAATTCTTTTGTGATAACGTTTTCAGAATATAATTAATAAATGGTAACACGTAGATCCAATTCCTGCCTCTATTGTTATTAGTTTTAATAAATATTAAAATTGTCTAGTTTATTATATGATGTTGATAAAACATTTTTATTATTCAAAAATGTATAACTTTATTATTTGCTTAACTAAATTATAATCAGTATGAAAACTACTTTATGACGGTATAAATCTACACATTTCATGATGGATAGGAGTATTGTTACAGTATATGTTAGATATAAATGTTTTTAATTATAAAAAAAATCGAATCAATGTAGATGAATTCAGAACAGTATGTTTGTTAATAATACAAATATATAAGTAATTAAAATAGTAAGAAGAAAAATTAACTTTAGAAAGATTAAGGTGCTATAAAGAGTTTTTAATGTATAACGTTATGTATAAAAATGAAATAATTGACCTACTAACTAACAGCTGTATTTACACATTTATTTGATATTTATATTCATGCTTGCAAAACAGAATACATATACTATACAATATAGTGAAAAATCTCTCTAATATTTAACTTATAAGAGAATAGTTTTTATAGAAACAAATTGAAGCAATATTATATATAAATACATAAAAAAAACTTGTTGTTTAAAAATATCAATAGAATTACAAAAACGTAAGAATGATAATACTGGGAACAATATCAACATTAACTATATAATAAACATGTAAATAAAAGCAGAAGGCTTACGTAAAGAATAAAATTTGCAAAACCCACAACTATATAAAATATCTCTGTTCTTTAATTGGGCATACAGAAATATAGACATTCTGCACAACAAACAGTACTCCTGAGAGACAATAAAAATACGTACAGTGTCTTGCAAATCTTGCGAATCTGTAAAAGGCGGAAAGAGAAAAGAAAGAAGAAAGGAGAAGGAGTTTAAAGATGTTTGTGCATTCTCTATGTGAACAAATATAACGCAGATGCTTAAGAAACAGTGGGTAAGAATTGCATCGCTTGGCAGTCCAGCAGAAATACAGACCTTACGTGTGCCAAGGACCCAGAGAGAAACAGCCTCTTGAGCACTTAATAAACTTTGGCTACGATCGGCTGAAATGTGAGGTTCAGGCGAGTAGCTTGTGTCCTGGAGTGTGAGCGGCGACCAAAAAAAGTGGCACATTATTAGTACAAGAGAATCTTGAACTACAGAAACGCACAGAAAGTGATGCGCGACAGTGAATATCAAATATTTTATGTAATTTGACATTTTTCAACATTTCTCTTCGTAAAATTCCAAAAACGTAGAAAAATTGTACAAACTTCAATCAAAAGAAAATTTGAAGTGGAATTAAAAAAAAATACTATGCCACATAGGAGGAAAGGAAAGTTAATGTGTATGGTAATACTGATGGAATGAAGGAAAAAGGAATGTTTAAAAAAAAAAGCAACATCAAACAACATGTAGATGAACAACATCTACAGATAACATATAAAATGTCTTTGTGTTAAAACAGATTTCTCGAAACCACGAAACAAATTACCGTCTGCAATATAAACAGTAATTTTTTATGTCCCGTTGCTGTAAATTTAAGTCGATTTTTTTCTTTTAAATTAATGATGCATTTTGATATCATTCTGATTATTGTAATGCACTTTAGTATATCGTGTTAAATAAGTATTTCATGCTATTTTATATAGTCATAAAAGTCAAGCTTCAACCATAAATGATGTCAAGCACAAAGAATTATATAATTTCCTTTTTAATGTGCAATGTGTATAATGTCGCTATTGTGGTATTGGCGATGTAAAAATGTAAATGGACAGATAGAAATGGAAACATTTACCTTGATATTTTCTAATTCTGCTTGTGTAACTGTTAGTTGTTGAAGTAGCTCTGCAATAGTAACCTTCGGCGGCGTTTGATGCGCTTGTTCAAGTATCTGAAATTACGTACAAGAAATTTATATATTGATTTCCGTTAGAATTATAAATTTAAGAAACGCAGTGGTTGAAATTTGCATTTTTATATTTGAAATTCTTTTATCCTTTAAAGGTTAAATTATCACGCTTTCAAAATTTTAGAAAAATGTATGTTAATTACTTTATCAGCTTGTTCTATGCGTGCAGCTTCTTGGCCTTTGGCATACATTTTCAGGTATATTTGTTTATTTCTCTCCTCTTGCTCATTCAACAAAGTCTTTTGCTCAGCGAGTTCAGCTTTAACAGCTTCTAATTCCGCTTCTAATTCATGAGCTCGAGTTTCCGCGGCATCAACGCTTGGTCTCACTTCACAATAACGTGTATTTACTTCAGCCAACTGATTGAGTAAGCTCTCCACCTGAAATTCAAAACCAAAGTCGTGGATCGATTTACAACAATATTTCAGTCATGGTATTTAGATCCGTCCAGTATCCGTCAAGATGTTAAATAAAATGTTCATTTCATTAAATATGGATACCTTGTCATTGTGTTTTTGCTTGAGTTCCTGAAGTTCGTCGACGTGTCTGCGGTGCATTTCCTCAATCCTGCTTTCATAATGATTCACTAATTTGCGTCTCTCTTCATCTTTCTCCAGGGTTTCTTCAGTGGACGTGGCGTACGCTTCGGAAGTACTGTCTTCGGTAACCTTATTAGACGTTGTGGCAACATTAATGGTCTCTGGCTGTATCTCTGGTAGGTACACGGAGTCTTTCGAGTGAATGGATCCGTCTTCAAAATGACCAGAGTCCGCCAAAGAGGAAGGAAGATCGGAGGGAACGCGTTTCTCTGGAGTACCTGGACTCGCGACTTTCTGAATCGTGCCTTCGTCTGGTAGATCCTTCGTCGGGGATTCAGGTGAGAAAGGATTATTTTCTCGTACGGTGAGAGCATCGCTGCTATCTGTCCTCTCATCTGGACTATTCAGAGATGCTTTGTATAATCTTAATTCCACCACCTCCTTCGTTAACCGACAAATCTCCTGATCCTTCTCCTCGATCTCCTTACGCGCTTCCTTCAGTAGAGCCTAGAAAAAAAAAAAAAAAAAAAAAAACGATTTTGTTGAGAATGTTAATTTTCTGTTTTATATGGTTTTACACTATATAGAAATTGGAAAGAGACCAAAGTCTTACCTGGAACTTTCTAACTTGTCTGGCTGCTCTTTGGGTAGGCGTAAGGTACTGATCATTGTCACCGTTATGATTGGAACAGTGAACAACGTATTTCCTTGATCTACCGGACCATGTGGTACCGTTGAAGGCGAAGGTAGCATGCTCGCAGGCGCTTGCGGTACTGCAGGCACTTCCGTAACTTTTTACGCTTTCCGCATCGCTGTCATCGGCAATTCCAAAACATGATCCTGCGGAGGCCGCGTGTACAGATCGCGGCCTCACCGGGGTCAATGAAAGGCTCTGGAAAGTAACAAGTAATATTATTAACATTATAGTAATATTGCAGCTGATAACAAGACAAGTTCAAACATGTATGATATGTTGACCTTCAGATGACCTTGTGAGGAGTTATTCTTGTATAATCATAATTTTATGTACAGTCATCTGATGGTCAATATATTATATGTTTAGATTCATCTTTTTATCAGTTACAATACTAAAATAACGACGATATCCTATTCGATTTAAAAAACACATTGATGGCCTTGAATGGCCTTCTGGATACACAAGAAACCTTTAAATTGTTGCTAGTATATATAAAAATACACAGATATAATATTACGTACATAGACACAATATTTTCGTGGGAAAACTTAATTACACAAATTATTTAATTTAGTATAGGATTTAATTTTTTCTTTAAATTAATGACGGCAGACACAATAGTGGAATAATATGAGTAATACAGGGGAAAACAAAGAATCGAAGAAATAAAAGAAAAGATTACCCAGTAATGTCATGTTTGGATCTATGTACTAGCAGCTTAGTACATCAGTATGAATGAAATTGCATCGATAACACCGTACGATAACCGTAAATACGGTTGGATAGGCAGTGACGGGTACAATAACTTGTCCCACAAAATCATCGGACCTTAACCGTCATCGTTTTTATTTGTGGAATCATGTTAAGGATACTAGCTATTACATACAATACTGCAAACGTTCTAACGGAGTATTTCTTCGCTTGAGATATGAGAAACAAAAAATTCGAGTTACGTTTATGGTACCTCGGTCTTTAATGAAATTAATGGATGCTGATTAAAATTAAACATAAGTAAAAAACGAAGACTATTGTTAAACAGTTACAGATAAAGTATTATTAACTTCATACTTTCATTTAAAACACTGTGTAAAAAATAGTGGCAGGTATCAAGATTGGCTTTCAAAGGCTTAAACAGAAACAAATTGTACGTCGTCTTTATACCTGACTGACCTAAGGGTGAGTTACCCCAAGCTTAAGCAGTAGCTTCCTTGCAGGTATAGTAGGAGGTCTGGGTTGAAAGAAAGCCAAAATTAAAGGCCCCATTGAATAGAAAGATACGAGACCGACTCTTCTTTAAAGTCGAGGAAGCCTGCAGAATCTATACGAGAAAAGTTTTCAAGCAGAACTGCGATAAAGATTTTGTACGCTTTATGTGAGTCTTGTATTAGAGTAATCTTACGAAATAGACGGATAAATATTTACTTTATATTTTATTATGTAGTATAATTTTATATTTTATTGTATATAATAATACGAAGTATTCATTTGTCTTCTTTATTTAATTGTATAATTATTTTCCATTGCCTCCAACTTCGCAACAAAGTAATTTAAAGCAATATTGCGTTTGTCGGGATTTGTAGTAGGTCTATTTCCACTATCTGTCCGTCTGTTGAAATATTCTTCAACGTGTTTTGATTAGGTTAAGGGTCGAGGTTATACTAACAAGAGCATATAGCTGTACCGCACCTTAATACCATAAATGTACATATGTGTATATGCTCCTGTTTACTTCTGTATAATCATTTTGTATTTAACAACTCTTTAGGTTGTTTATAGTAACTAACGATTCTAATTATCCCTGTTTTTTTACTAAATTAAAGAAATGTAGATTGTAAAAGCTACACTCCAAAGAGTTACATTTTTAGATTCATACAATTGAAATAAATATTTTTTGAATCATTTCATACAGACTACAATCACACTTCTCGTAGTACTAGGACCTGGAAGTAGCGAAGGTGTGGTTTTTAATTTGTAGTGTTGCACAAAATTGCATAAAGGTTAGAGGGTCTCTTGTTTCCTTGCCCATCTCGATTACACGAACTTAAGTACGTGTAATAATTAATTTAAAATTTGCTGCGCTAAGCGAAACGCCTCTTTCCCTTGTAAAGGCACACATATCCACTGATGCAATCTTTTATAGTCACGCATAGCTTATTAGAACAAGAGAAAATGGAAAGTTGCTTAATTAACGATTCAACCTTTCAATCCCAACCAGTTCTTTAAATTTAATTCTGAAGATACCATTTATCGAAAAAAGTAAACACCGTCGGGGCGGTTATAATGTCACCTTCAAGATAAGAAAAAATATTATTTCGAACTGCCATACTTTTGTTTAAGTTGAAAGTGTAAAAGTAACGAATACATTTTGAATCAAAATAATAACTTCCATGCGCTTATTGGTAGGAGCAACAAAATAATATTTTGCTCTTATCTCGGTAGTTACACCCCTCCACCTGTACGCACGAAAGATAACGTGGCAAACAATAACATCGATGAGAAAAATTTACTCGTTTTTTACAACGAATATATCTTTTACGAATACTGACACTTATGTTTCTACGCAGTTGTCACTGGATTCTTCGATAACAGTTACCAAGAACGTACAAGAAACACAAAGTCGATAAAACACAAATTCTTAGCACGCATCCGCGATCTACACGAAATCAATGATACATCCAGATGGGGAAAATTCTATCCCCAAAAAGATTAATAATGAAAGAGACTTCTACGTAAATGTTTCATTGTAATTATAGGCACACATGTGTAAAGTTTATTCAAGTGCATATGTATGACGAAACATTCATTTGGTAACATCAAACCCATCATTTAATTTAAAAATTCTGCAAATTTCTTCAGTACACATAGAGGATACAAGTAGTTATAAGATCGACTATATATTGAAAAACATGTTTTCATTTTGTACATTGAAAAGGTTGTTCCTATCATGTACCTTAAAAAGCTTGTTCCTCCTAAGTACATCAAAAAGCTTGTTTCTATCTTGTATATTAAAGAGCATATTCCTTACATTGTACATCAAAAAGTTTATTCCTATACCTTGTATATTAAAAAGCTCGTTTTACATTGTTCATCAAAAAGCTAGTTCCTACCTTACATATCAAAAAGCCTATTCCTATTGTATATATATATTAAATAGCTAATTCCCACCTTGTACATCAAAAAGCTTGCTCCTAATGGAACATAGTATCTATTGCGTATGGGGTGGACCTACTACTCCACTTTCAGTGGAATGTAAACAATAGTGTTGATGTCATGTATTGTCAATGGTTGCAGGTGTAATGATACTCACGAGGGATCGTTGTCGCGGTGATTCAGTTCCATTCTCCGTGATGACGGGGAATATGCGACGGTCCAGGTGATGGTGTTGCTGGTGTTGCAGAAAGTTGAAGCGACGATGCTGTTGATGCTGTCTCGCCGGAGCCGCGGTGACCGCGGTACTAACTGCTGGTGGTGGTTGATGTGGGGAAGCCCGTTCACCGCGCACGCGTACGCTAGCCGAGCGACGCAGACCTGTAGGCGAGGGCCGTGGTATACGGGAATCCCATGGAGAGGATATCGAAGGGACCGTGGGTGATGGAACGGTAACCGTTGCAGATCTGTCCGTGCTATCCACGCTGCTGTCGGCATTGACCTTGATCGTACTGTCGTCGGTACATGTTGCTGACGGCGACGGTGCCAACTTCGTCGGGGAAGCCTCGTTTCCGTTGTTTACACGAGGCGAGGAGCCTGGATGCATCGATTGCAGGGAATGCAAGGACCTCTCGCTTTCGTGGCGGGCCATCCTGTCGGTCCAGGGCTTATCTCATCGCTTCGAGGAATTCCTGCAAAGGAATTGCGGTCTTGTCAGTTGCGAGGCAAGGCAATTATTTACATTCGAGGGTACCTGGCCTATTTCAATGACCTTAGCACTTGGACGTCCCTTTTGATTATGAGAGGATGTTAGGTCCCAAGAGTTTCTTTCTCGAGTTACACTCGGTTATTTTGTCTGGCAGTGTTTATATAAGTTAGAGGTTGATGTTATCCTTTTCAGTCTATCAGTCTATCAGTCGTCTATCTACGTCAGACGACCTTGCGATGGCTTACAGCCAAGAATTTAAAGAAACTATGAAACTATCGAATGAATCTATTTTTTAGTATTTTTTTTTTTTGCGTAATGATGTATAAAAAGTTGCCTAATCTTTACAAATTCGTATTCGAACGAACGTTACAAATAAATTTATATACTTTGCTTTTACATTACTTAGTACTTTAAGTTAAAACCAACCTGTCGATAATAAAGTGATAACGAGTATTTTATCACTGATAACTACAGAATGTTATCGATAGCAATTCTAGTTCAGATATTGTATTATTGATATATATATACAGGGTGTCCCAAAACTCGGGGAGAAGCCGGAAATGGGGGGTAGCTGAGACGATTCTGAACAACAATTTCCTTTGCAAAAATGTCGGATGGGGCTTCGTTAAGGAGATATTAAGCAAAAACCCCGACCAATCAGAGCGCGCGTAGACCGTTGGAGCGGCCGCGGTAGCGAAGGCTACGCGCTGGCGGCCGCGCTTGTACGCGAACAAGTGACTCGACGTGCATCAAAGCATCGACCTAGCGCGTAGCCTTCGCTACCGCGGCCGCTCCAACGTTCTACGCGCGCTCTGATTGGTCTGGTTTTTCTTTTAATATCTCCTTAACGAAGCCCCATCCGACATTTTTGCAAAGGAAATTGTTGTTCAGAATCGTCTCAGCTACCCCCCATTTCCGGCTCCTCCCCGACTTTTGGGACACCCTGTATAATGATTATATATCATCTAATAGTAGAAATGTTATTTCATTGCGTATTTCTAACATTCTGTATTTATTATTTGGCATAAGACTGCTTAACAGGACAAGTTTGTTGCATGTAATAATCGCACTTACATAGTAGAAATTACTGGAAATTACTGACAAGGACTCGGAAAGGCGTTTAATAAACGTTGTGCCCTTGAGATTTAACGTGGTGATAAATTACCTACCACTGATATTGTGTGTGCACGGAATTTAAATTACGAGGTTTTAACATCTTTTAATTGTAATTGTAAATATAGTCAGCCACATTTACGTTTTATGTCTATAATTGTGATTTGGTCATTGAAAGTCACATTTTATACCTATGATTGTAATTTTTTAATTATAATTTACATTTTATATTTATAATTGTACTCGCACAATTGACGATAAGACACTGCAATCTGTAATAGTAATTCCAGTAACGATCGATTACGTAATCGATTACAATTATGACTGATTAAGGCCAACCGTGAACGAGACTATACCAGCTTGTTAGAGGCTGACACATCGTCAGTTATGATTTTGATCCGCATACTGGAAGTGTTCGCAAAAACAACCTTCACTCGTTATTTCTTAAAGTCTACTACTTTCCTCAATAATGAACGTTAAGTAAACAATTTTTTGCTGAGTTCACGAATAGTTTATCACCGTCCCTGAAATAAAACTTCCTTTTTCTCGCCGTATCGCTTTAGAAATACATAATCCTGAAATACGTTTGCCAAAGTTGCCGCATATAAAACTGTTACTTCAACAAACATGAATCCAAATTCTTACTTTGAATAAAACGAAATTTCAAATTTGATATCGTATTGGAGAAATTACTTATAACCAAAAATGGTCCGAAGTTAATTAACGTAGACTCACTTAACGTCTACTCACTCAGACATTTCATTGTTATAAACAAAAATAAACATCGAGTTATCAAAATGGTCTGTAAACATTTTCGACCGTTTTGAACTTTGTTATGGCGCTTAAACGTTTTGCCTTATCTTTCCTTTACAATGCACGCCTGATACGCGCCGAATGTTTGATCAAGTATCAGTAAGATTAACATAACCCTAGTGAAAGGCAAAGTAAGTGAGTTTTACAAGTGCTTTTACACGGTACCAGCTGTTACGAAAGAGTGAAGAATGCGGAATTCCGAAAGCTATAACGCGATCGTTTTCAGAATTATACTGTATTTCCAGCAGGAACTAGTTTCGGATATAGCGTGTCTAGAAATTGACTTTTCAAGAATATTCGCCATCCTTACCCTGTATAAATTATGAATAACAAAATATGGGAGAAATGCTATCAGCCATCTTGCAATGTCGACATAAATATCTTAGTAAAATGAATGATCAAAATCAAAATAAAATTCTCTCAAGCAATTCAAAATAATTTCTTGTCCAATGGCTCGAAAAATCCAGCTGCGACACTGACTGATATTCCGTTTGCGCACATTATGATTTTCTATGAATCGTGTTATTGCACCCCGCTGCCGAATTAGAACAGTGAAAGGTCTATTTGAATGAAGTAATCGATCATTTGGTGTCCTATTTCACGAACATGCTGCAGTATTATGCAGCGTCCACATCATCCTGACGACGGTAGAAGAAAATATTGTTTTCATATTTTCATTATATCGCGTATCGATTGACCATTTAACGTGCATGCATTGACAATACCTGCCGCGACTATAGTTATCCCGTAAAATCTAAATTTCTGAAATAAATTTTACGAATAAAGAATACTCCATACACAAAATCATCGCAAACTTTTTATTGGGTTTTTGAAGAAAATACAGCTTTACGCAAGCATCATTGATTAGAATTAAATAATTTACATAAATGAAATCCACGGACAATAGAGACCGGGCCAGCTCCTTATTATGAGCCGTGTGAACGGGAAATAATTAGCAATTAGAAAGTAGTAATTAACGTAATCACGGAACCGTGTCTTACCTTTGAAACGTGAATTTGGAATAGTAACAGCGTTTCCCCCTCGTGCGAGTCTTCAAAGGGTTTTTAATGTTTATCATGCACGCTTGTCTCGTAATTATAGCACTCATGGGCTTCTAAATGAAAACGAATCACGTACAAATCGAAGACAGAGAAGACTCGATTTCACTGTTAATTCATGTCACGCGGGCTTATCGCATGTAAAGGTTGAACATAGCTGCGAATACTAATTCAGCGGTCAAAGTACTCTTACACAAGGTAAATTTCAAGTATGCACTCATAGTTAGGGAACAGTTGTTCACGATTTGTTACAACTAGGATCTGAAGGAACACGACATTACACACCGATCACACCGTAAAACTTTGAACTGTTTCCGTACAGCTACGAGAAACGTGGCCACGAAGCGAACGTCAATCATCAACGAGCCTACGCGACTCGTGGAAACAAACACTGTTACGTTATAGCGGCAGAAAATCGCGAGATGTCGTATCGCTAGCCTCGATCATTGACAGCGTTCTTATTTCTGCTTGCTAGCGCCATCTAAAGGCATTTTCTTGAAACAGAACATGATTGATGGTCGATAAGAAATTTCGTTCTCAAACGGTAATCGTATCACAATTGAATATGCACGTTTACAGATTTCGAAGGGTAATTTACCGTAGTCTTGCGAAGTAACATTGTTATCAGATGAAAGTTTACCGAATAATTGACTATTTACTCACTTATTTCATTAGCCTAGGCGCTGCAGTTTTTAACTACGGCAAAAATTTGAATCGTAGCATTACTAGAAGCAATATTTTGTTGTAAGTTTCTTCTAAAATACTGATCATTTCTAAACAATAACCAAAATAGATAGGACAATAATTACATTGTATGAAGTTAAATTAAATTTGAAGAGAAAAGCTTTTGTGCAAACAATGGTTGCAAAAGTCGAAGTATAAACTTCGAGTCATAAAGCAAACTTTAATGTTGACTTTAATTATAACTGCTTTTTATAAAGTGGTAGCTAAAATTCTTCTGTATGTGTTGACTAAACCATACTACAATTTATTGATACGTATAAAAATATGTTAATGCTATCGATGGCAGCTCCTCATTACGTTGTAATAGATGCTACATCACCTGCGCTAATAATTCACAACTGATAAGTGTCTTACAATCGATCCTATATTGAAACACATTCGAGCATCACGATTTCTAATTTAAAACATCTTGGTTATAACGACGTACATTTGTACCCAGATAATAATACGCTTTTCTAATATTGATGATCACTATCCACCTGCAGCGGTGCAATTAAAAGTGTTAGGCAGGACACATTTTTGCGTTTGTGGATTGAATTGCAGACTGTTCGGACATGTGAGATTGTAATACTGGACGATGGTTGCACCGTCCACGTAACAAAAATAGTAAAGTTTACAATTGGGATCAGGAATTCTGAATCTGCCACTTGCGGTGCACGGGGCTATCGTTGTTGTTGGTGTTGTTGGCGTTGTTGCACTTGTTGTTGGCGTTGTTGGCGTTGTTGCATTTGTTGTTGGCGTTGTTGCATTTGTTGTTGGCGTTGTTGCAATTGTTGT